GTCGCGGGGATTCAAGCTGATCTCGACATGACCGTTTAATTTTTTAATTTTGTTTAGAAACAGAAAGTTCACGGAAAGAACGATTTTGCTGAAATATCTAAAAATTTAGTTAAATATAAACTTGACAATAATTTTGTTCATCAAAATATTTGTGTAAAAAATTCAAACGTGATGAGCAACCAAAAATTTTGATATTTTAGCAATCCTACATAATTATTCTGATGCAACAGAAATTTATTTTTAGATCTACATCTAGTTAAATTCTTAGATACTTCAGCAAAACCATTCTTTCCGTGTTCTAAATGACATTCATAAGGTTATAATTTTATAGTAATATTATTAAATAATCTAACATTTTTTCTCGCTAATCAAGATTGGAAAGAATATTAAAATTTTATTTTTTATATCTAATATATAAGATAAATTTTATTCTTTAATTTTGGATTTTGGATATTTAAATTTTGAAGAAATATTCAAAATCGAGAATTTAAGGATGCAATTTTAAGAATGAAAGAGTAGAGTTGAACAAAATTCGTAAACGTTACACCACGCCACTGCGAACTAGCAGACCTACCGCAAAGAGTTTGACAAGAATGTCGGTTGGCAAAACACGGTAAAGCACCGATATCAAAGACCAGAAGTTGTTCTGAACTTGCGTCCGGTATAGTCCGTTTCGCGAATCTCAAAGACCCACGCGACGGAATATCGTCGGCGACCCGCTCGTAAAGTGACGACGACGACGACGACGACGACGACGACGACGACGCGAATCGTCAGGCAGACCGATGACGAGAAGCGAATACAGATAGAGAAAAGGAGATGTAGATGAGAACGTAGACGGAGGTGGCGAGATGTTGTCGAGGGAGCGACGATGCTGACGATGCTGACGACGACGACGATGATGACGACGGTGATGGTGGTGGTCGTGGCGGACCAGATGTTTGGCTAATGATGTCAGCGGAATCGTAACTAAAACCGAGGCGGCCCCGGACTTAGCACCGGCTTAGCTTCAGCTTTGAAGGAAAGAGTCTTATTACTGGGGCCTGCACGTGCTGCTCGTGAGCGCGAAACCGTAGGGTAATTGGACCACCCACTCGACACACCAAGAGTGCCACTCCTCCGCTCCCTCACTGCTTCCCTTCCTCCTTTTCTCTTCCTTCTTTTTTTGTCCTCCGTCGCTGAGGACGCGAAAACGGCGGCGACCTTTCGACGAGCAGATAAACTGGAAGTTGCGCGACGACTTTCAGTCCCGACAATCGTCGAGACGTTCACTCTCGTCCGTAATGTTACACGAGAAGAGATGCTAACGCATGTCCACAAGCTTATCGAGAATATTCTTTATCACTCGTAAAGTTATTGCGATTGGTGGATAAATGTATGATGGGAGATTGGAAATGATAGCTGTCTCATATATGTCAATTAAAGATTATAAATATAAATTGTTACGAGACTCGCTTATCGGAGAAGTTCTTATTAAATGTTAAAAACTATGACATGTATTTAAATGAAGGAATATATTGAACATTGAATTAATTCTGAAAAAGCGCTATCTTGTGAATATTAGATTAGTTTTAAAACTACCTGTTTTATTCAATGATAAAATATATCTTGTAAATTTTATTTCTATAAACATTATTATATTTATAAAGATATACAAGTTCTTTAAACTTTCTGTATTACTTCTTTAAAAAATAGAGTTTTAATATTTTCACAAGGAATATCTGTAGATATAATGTTTTTATATGGCATATTACTAAATCAAATATTTTTTAATACTTTATGTATTAAGTTAATATTGACAATTTTCTTCAAATTGGCTTATTATTGAGGAAATGGGATGTCTCGTTTGCTTCCTAGTTTTGGGATAGTGTGGATTAATTGGACCACCTACGGACAACTGGAGTTGCGACAAGCGGCTCCCTTTTCCAAATAAATACACGCGTGTTGTGCCTCATCTCGGGTAGCGGGTGGGAGGGTCTTCCAAAAGACGTTGGTACCCCAAGCAGACGAAGCAGCAGGAGCGTGTCGTACCGTGCCGCATCTCGTCCGTGACACTCGACCCGGAAGACAAGACTGATTTATGCCTGCTGGCTCGCCGGACGGAAATTAGATGGGTTCGTGTCGAGGGATATCACTACGCTTGTTTGACATTTTTATGTGGTGCCGCCGATATTTTCTTTCGTTCAAACACTAGCGCGCGTGGGAAGACGTTAATTAACGACATCATCTAATCACCAATTACCAAGGTTTTAAGTATGACTAACACTTTTAGCGTTTTGAAAAATGTTTAGAAAAATTTGATTTTTTGAAAAATTTATTTAAAAAATATATTTATAAAGAATGTATCATAAGACTGCAATGTGAATACATAATAACGAAAAAGCTTTATCGATTTAATTTTTTGGATTTTAATGCTTCAATAATAAATTTAAAGTGCAAATGTTTATACAATATATACATATTCAATTCTACAATTGCTAAATCATTTTCAATTTAAACGTAATCTTAATCTGGAGTAATAATATCATAAATTAAATAGCCAAGTATAATATTATTAATTTAATAATATTAATGTTAATAAGCACCAATATTAAGTATCCTAAAAATCGTAAATAATTTGATGCTAATAAGCATCTTAAAAAGTTACAAACAATTTATTGCGGAAAATATATATTGTCTTTTTATTAGAATTGGTGATTAATTTTTTAAACTTTGACATTTGAACTACGAAGTTTTAAAAAGCTATGGCATTAAAATCTTCGATACTTCAAGTTTCGAAGAATCAAAGTTATATAATTATTAATGTAATAGAGCGAATAGTAACGAATATAGCTAATAATAACGAATACATTTTTATAAAAAACGATAAATTATATAAAAAAATGATAGGTTTGTAAAAAAATATTAAAAAATGATAGGATGTAAAAAAATATTATTGAAATTAATATAAATTTGTATTTTCTAGTTTAAAATTTAAATTAATTGATAATTAAATGATAATTAATTATCATTATTAATTAATATCATTAATTATATTAATGCAGATAACAAGTATTATAATAAAAGAATACATGCAAAACGTTATAATAGATAAAATATTAAGAGATTTTTACAATCTTTTGTAAAATGAATTATCTTATTGTTATTCTTTGAAGTACATATCTGGTCATGTGCATCTTGCGATGTAAGCTGATGCGTTTCGCGCTTAAACACGCGGAAAATTTTGTCGGTTCAACACATCTTTTTATGTTTGAAAACTTTGCAATCGTCGGAACGCAGGTATTATCCCTTGAGAATCAGGCAATGAAATCTGTCCTCAAAGATTTCGGCGAAAGGGAGGATACTAAGCGAAGGGCATCGTTTAAATGGTCAATGTCGGGAGATCTCGGAAACGGGGCCACCTGTGTATTCGTCCCATCCGTCGTGGGTGGGCCCCTGTAGGTAATGCGAAACGCCAAACTAGGGTGTAGATCTGACTTAGGGTAGATTTCCGTAGGGGTGGTGCACACAAACGAGAGAGGAAATGCAGCCCAACCACTTAAGAGGCTACTACAAACGTGACGATATGTAGACCAACACGTAGACAAACTTTCTCAGATTTCTTCCTGTCGACCACCGTGTTAGTCGACGGTTTTTTAAGTGCCGAGTGTGAACAAAGCGTTCTTTGCCTTCGCAGTGAGAGGTAGCTTTGCTTGTTAACGTACAAGAAAATATTAGAATGAAAACATAAAGATCCATTATAAAGAAAATGGTTAAAATGGAAAGGAGATCATTTTCTACAACTATTTACTGAAAACGAACATTATTTACTTTTTGGACACACCTCTAAAGAAAATCGGAACTATATGTAGGAAAATTAATGAACAGTTCATCGTTAGGTTTCTTCTTAATAATGAATTCTTTTGTGTACAATTTAAGTAATTTATCTTGTTAAAATATGCATACAGAATATGGAATGAAAAATGGAAATTTAAAAAAATTCAAAGTGATTCAAAGATCTTGATAAGATCATCCAAAATCAAACCAATGGTACCATCTTATGTTTCCCTTGAAGTTACATAACTTTTGTCTGAAACTTTTTTCAATCTCACGTCTCATTCTCGAAAAATACTTTAATTAAAATGAAACATCCAACATATCAGAAATATGTATTGAGTTTAATGTTTATTGTAAACTAACTCTAACGCTTTTATATTTACTCCTATACGTAGCACTTTTATCTTTTATCTATCTTTGGCTACAGGCTTTACTTTTTTTGATAAACTAACTGTTGACTAACAAAATGAAGTTTTTTATAAAATATAAAGTTTTATATAAAATCGTTTTGTCAATTAATATAATATATACTGTATCACTTCTGTACTCAATACACGTTTACACAAAATTGCAAAATTTTTATTTTTAGTAAATTCGTTACGTTTCATAATTCTTCTCATGCCATTTTCAAAACAATGTCTTTCAATAAATGAAGAATTGTATTCAATGAATAATATCATGGTCGCTTATTTCATTTCGATCAAAAATATATATCTGATCTTTCAGTCATGATGAATCAGCTAGCAACTCTACTATTGCCAGAAAAATCTCGAAACCAGTGCATTCCCGGTTCACTTCCGTAACGCCCGCGAGAATTCACGTGTATCAGCGAGTTCCCCTATCTCTTCTTCGATCCCTCTGATTTCCCAGCTTCCTTCTCCCTTTCCTCCGCTGTATAGGTAGGTCGCTTCGCCGCCTTCTTCTAATTTTACGAGCCGTTGACTCTCGATCGATGGAACGAACCGTTTCGAAACAGCCGGCCGTTTTCCGCCACGCGCCGTTGGCTGTCCGGTGACGTAATTTTCCCGAAGCGAAGCCGAGCTGTCGCGCGCCGGGTAATAAGATCGGGGAATTTGCGAGAGATCGCCGATGTTAATGCGAGTCCGGGGGCGACCGGATCTCTCCGATCGCCAATCTCCTGTCCGCCATGTACTAACCGACGGCCATTTTTCCGCTTGTTACAGATCACAAAGCTCAAGATCGACAGTAATCCGTTCGCCAAGGGCTTTCGGGATTCTTCTCGTCTCACGGACTTCGAGAGGTAAGCTCCTTACTAACTGATGTTAAACGGCGCCGAGTTCGATAAAATCGTCTATGATAAAAGAATTTGGAACTACATAAATCAATGTTGAGACTTCGCTTCAATTCTGTATTGATGTAGGAAAAAGATTTATCACTTTCTTTCTTTCTTTTTAATAATACAGTAAAAGTTATTTGCTAGCGTGTAAAATCATAAATATAGCTACCAGCTTTAAAGGAGATCATTAATCATAATAGCGTCGAAGCCTATAACAGAGAAGATAAATTAAACGAAAATTTGAAAACGAAATGGACAATTCATTAGTGAATTTTATTTGGCTGACAAAAGTTTGACTCAATATCCTTTCGAAGAATTTCGCGGCTAGAAGGCGGTATGCATAATGGAGCAGCTTCCCTTTTAGGGAGACGATGGAATCAATGCTGGCAGAACAGCAAACGTTGAGGTTTCCGCATCGGCTTCCTTTCGAAATGGAACAACTCCAGGCAGGCGCCGTGAACAATCTCAGTCTCGAGGAGAAAGCATTGTGGGCTGCGCGTTCTCAGATGCTGCTGAGAGCGGCGGCGGCCGTAGCTGCTACCAATCCTTACGCCCAGTTGGTTAATCCCACTTTGGTCTATCCGGGTGCTTCAGCCGCGGGCACCAGCCATCAACAGCAACAACATCAACAGCAACAGCAACTAGGTCATTTATGGTGGGCCTCTTCGATTGGATCTACTATCTTTGCAGCGGCACATCATCAACAACAGCTGGTCGCGTCCAGTTCCCAGCAGAATACAACAGGCCCCGCGGCCCCTCGACCACTCTATCCATCGCCTCTTGCCTTGGGTCACAATCGATTCTCGCCCTATCACACGACTGTCCCCAAGTCCTCAACGCCGGCTGCGCCGTCGCCGTCGCCGTCCAGAAGGGCCACGCCGTCGCCTACAGATAGTCTCAGCAGGGAGGCTCAAGATCTTTCACCGTCGTAGTCCTTCGTGGCTTCATTAGGAAAACAATGATCGCGATTTTCTTTTAGAGAAACTCGATAAGATCAATTTCCTGTGGTTGAACTAGTGTACACTTTTGGAACTTAAAGTGAAATAGGTATATGTTTGATATTTGGCAAAAAAAGGAAGAAGAGAGTTCTAGTACAGTCCCATGCAGATAAATAAAAAACAAGTTTGATGTCTCAAACGTGTTATTAAGATTACACTTTTTCTGAGCCTTTTCTCATATAGAAAAGGAAATACAATTGGATTGTACAATTGCGTTGCGTTTTTTATGGAGGAATCTATTCCTTTCGATGTGATGAAAGTCAACTTTTCTCGACTAAGACCGAAATGTAACAATCAATTCATCTTGCAATATTCGTCTTCTTTCATTGAAAAACTGACGAAACTTTTGCGCGCGCTGATCGATTTCCATCGCATTATTTGAAAAATAATACAAATAAATGTATAAAAGGAGCCTTATGTCCATTTCTACCGAATTAAGTTAAATCAAGATTAAAGTTAATCTGTTTGGTAGAAATAAGTGTTATTCGATCAAAGCGGAGGTGCCTAATAATATTTCTTGCATGAATTTTTACATAGATTTTCCAGTTCAAGCAAATTGCGTGCCGATTATTTGTCGGTCTTGAAACACAATCATAAACTGAAACTAGAAAACTTGTAATAAGGTAAACTCGGGTAAAATGGGCATACGGAAAAGATGGCTATTGACTTTCAGAATGGCTACAAAAATGTTTTATTTAGCAATTATTATATTATAAAGAAATTACAGTTCATAGTCAGCCCATACGTACCTAAGCTTACCTTATCATGAATTAAATTGATGTACGATTTAATAATGATGATTATTATTAATAATATAATCTTGTAATGATATTATAAAATATTATTAATAATAATAATTATTAATTATTAATTTAAAATAATAAGTATTTTATTTTTACTTAAAATAAAGCTTTATATTTCATTTCTTTTAGAGTTCCAGAATTCTTAGCAGTTACAGAATTTTCTTATTAAAAGTGCAATATTTATCGTATACAATTAATTATTATGTTTTTTGTCATTGAATTATTAAGGAGCCGGTCTCCATTCCGTTAGATTAATACAAGATGAACGTAAACACACATACGTTCACACATTCATATGCATGCGTAACGTGATAAATTGGTATGGAATGTTTATGTAAAAATCGGGAATCGATTTTCGTTGCGCGTGTCATGTGTCACACGGCGTCGGAAGACGTCGCGGAGTAGGTGCCGCGAGTCCGAGGTACCGACGAAACATGCAGAATCCAGCGTGAATAGCAACGATAATTGTAGTGTCAAAGGTTCTCGAGTTGGCCACGGCGAGTTGTCGCTCTCCGTCCTTTTCTCGCGCCGCGCCGCAAAGATGAACCGGAGGAAAGAAACGTAAAGCGCACGCTCTCCGAGGGTCTGAATACTGCCTCTCTCGGCTGAACTCTCGACCTTTGGCGTGGTGGCAAAGCACAGGGGACTCGAGCCGTCTCACGTGACTCGGCGATTCCGTTGTCTCCTTGACTGAACCCTGGGACCGAGAGAAGCCCGATCTGTATATATCCTTGCCTTGATCAGCGATCGGAAGCGATAGGACCGCCGCGAGTCCTGGTAGTCGGGATTATGGGCGTAGCCAGGAAAGACAAGGAAGATCATGGTACCTCTAATTCTTAAAGAAGAACAGAAGTAATTAAAGTTCTTAAACAATCTATATTTCATGTGTATTCACAAGAAATTTATTTTAGAAAGAAGACAGAAAGTTCTAAAAAGATTTTCTGAAAATCCAAAACGGCTAGTATTCTAAATTTAAGTTTTTCCAGTTTAAACGATCAGTTTACAATTAAAAAAAAATAAAATAAATTAACAAATAAAATATATGTGTGATTTTATGATTTACCTATCAGTAATTCATTAAATATAATATAAAATAAAACAAATCTGACAGTCCCCCCCTCCGGGGTTAAAAAAAATCTCAAATTTAATTTTGTTGCCTTCCTAAAAGTTATCCTGGTTACGCTCATGGTCAAGATACACTTAAAGATGCACTTTGAAATCAATAAAAATAAAAAAATATCGTTGCGTAAAAAATCTCTTGGACTTGCAGAAGAGATGCCGGATACCTTGAAGTTCCATTACCTGATGTGTATCTTGCAGCATATTTTATAGGTTCGCTCAAACTATTCTCACTGTCAAAGAAAAAACCGCGATGATACGCTGAATCGGATAATCCGATTTTCGCGAAAAACGTTTTCGTTGTATGTTCCCGTTTCTATATTTCATCAAAATTGTTACTTTGTAGCTACGTATACAAAAAACACAGTTGCGTTTCGAAGTCTAGCGAACGATCTGCAAAGATCATAATGATTTTCAGCGGATCGCACACGCAAGAATACGAACGGATTGTACATATGTAACCATCCTGGTTCCCAAGGCGACATAGTGCCGTACAATGCCGTACATAATACACGTATATACATCTTTAAGGGCAACACTAAGCTGTACGACGACTAAAGTCTACTTGTATATAGGTATACATATATATACTTGCGATATAAGATAACTACGCCTCTATCTCTTGTAATATAAGCTGTATATTTCGTATCACAAGCTATTGTTATCGTTATTTATGTTTCGATTCCATACTTCGACGTGGAGCAAGCGTGAAGTGAGCGCCTTGAACGCGACACGTTTTGATTGAAAGGATTTACAGTACTTCGTTTTTCCATATAGCACCGATCTCTAAAGGACATTCTAAAGACATTCCATAGGACATTTTCCTAAGGACGCTTTCAGAGTACCTCTTGGATAAAGTGTGTAGATTAAAGAATCGATGATTTTGGCATTGGATTCACATTTAAGTTGAGCCTAGCGAAAAGAGAAGAATTAAGAATCTCAGAGCGACACTTCGCGCGTTCTCTACGAGCACCTAAAGGATTATTATCGCCGCGGCGATTAGTGTTAGTGTAGGGCGTTACATTGTTAATGCTTGTGTTGTGAAAAACGCGTACACCTATTGCTGTGCAAGCTGCTCCCTTGTAAATAAACCCTAATAAACTTCTTGTACCGAATATGTCCGAGCCGCCGTTCCGAATATTCTCCCTTAGCCATCGTCCATTTCTGTTATGTTCCACTCATTCCTAAAATTATCTTGTTTAAATTACTTAAGAACTTTGGAAAGATAACAGACTGAATCGTATTTTTATCATCTCTGTTCGTAAGAATTTAATCCTGAATGGTCCGTGCGGGAAGGTACTGAAGCATATATATCATCGTTATCATATAATTAACTCATAAATAACACAAAAACATTTCCTTCTCTCTCTTGTAGATTATTTATCGCCGGGTCGCAGATATTATCCTACGGATAAATCGCTCGAGTATCTACTCTCTCATCCTTGGCGTGGGTAAGCCTGATGTGATCGAGGTAAGGAACTATTATTCGCAGTTGATCCTGTCCGAGCTGGCGTGTACACGCTTAGGCAAATGTTGTCGGTTCTGTATGGTTAACTGGCTACAGGATGCCCCGTTTAAAGGCATCATCACGCGATCCTTAAGCCGGCCGTGCGATTAGGGGATGAAGGAGTCACCATTTGTTGGAAAGCCAGCGAGACTGACTGATTACCAACGTGGTCACGAGATCGCTCTCACGTTGTCGTTCTTGCATTGGACACTTTTTTCAGCGTATGTAACACTCATTTATCGCAATGAAGAATTAATTCTCCCTTTTTAATCATATATTTTTAAATTCTATAATGAGCAATTTTATCGAATTGTTTAGATAAAGAATATTTACATCGAAAAAAATTTTCTAAATCTAAGTAATATTTTCTTGAATAGTAATACTAAGTAAACATTTCCTTATTGCAGATAAATATCTAAATGTAAACATGTTATTTAATTTAAATATTACTTTTTTTTTTAATAAATATTTATTTGCATTAAAAAAATGTTTACTTATTGTTAATACTATTCAAGAAAATATTACTTAAATTTAGGAATTTTTTTCAGTGGGCAAATAAAAATCTAATATACAAATATTTTAATACATATAATACTAAAACTCTTCAAATCATGTTCTGAAGTTAATTATAACGGAATTTTATTAATTTATAATATAAAAATGTATGTAATAAATTTGTATGTGTCAATCTGGAAGATAAAATTATATATTGGCCGGAAACTTTATCTGCCATTATATGTCGTCGAGTATTTTCTTAGCAAATTTCAATTGATTTTATATCACTTTTATTCTTTACAAATATCATAATATATATTTATTCCATCTTCTATCCATTAAATATAATGCGCGAATATATATGAAAGCTGTAACTTTCAGCGCGTCGACAATTGAAATAATTAATTAGTATACTAAACTGGGATTAAATTTATCGTTCGCGTAGCTATTCGCTTTATTAATTCGTCGAGCGATCATCATGTCGTAAAGTGGGCAAAATGAATACATTTCCATCATTATGGCCGTATCGGACGGGCATTAGGACATGAATAGACGTGCGGCCGGTCGGTCCCGACCGATCCATCCTTCGGTCGTAAATCACGCGTTGCGTTCGGCACGAAAAGGCGACGGGATCCGGTATTAGCAGCGGCGCCGAGAGGAGTGACACGGTGAGAGCGTTACGATGAAAAAGGGAAAAAATCAGCGCGTAACGTCTCGTCGTAAACATCGAGAATGTCCGGCCGCTTGATTAGGTCTCCTCTCCCGTCCTGTCGCCGTAAAGCACGCGATTACGATCGCGCCTTCGGTAAAAAGACCGAGAACGAAAGCACATGAATCTGCTTCTGCTCATTAAAGTAGAGCACATTTTGCAAGGCGAAAGCAACTCCTGATGGGAATATAATTAACGAAAAATTTATCACGGACGCCAGATGTCTATAAAGACATTTTAATCATCAGGCTATCCCTCACGTTTTTGAATTTTCTTCAATTTTGAGATTTAGGTATTATTTGATGTGCTATTATATTATATATTATATTTTAATAAATGTTATAATAAACATTATAACAATTAAAAAGTATATTATAATATATAATGTTATATTAAATTATATATTACATTATACTGTTAAATCCTTTTATAGTGTCAAATTATATTCAATGATTCAATTTGAATTATTTTTAATCACTTCTATAGATCTCCATTGCTTCTATTTTAATATAACATTAATTTAATTAATAACAATAGAGTTAAACAATTTAAATCAAGAAATACATTAAACTTGATACAACAGTTATTATTTATTAAGTACATACATTAATATGGACTTTGTTTACTTCAAAACTAAGCGATTCAACCACAGAAATGGATTTACAAATGTAGGAAATGTATGAAAGTTAAAATATTAAAATGTTATTTAATTCAAGGGATTGGATTATCATTGCTCTTTGATATTTAACAACATATTATATTATAATATTGTAC